GCTAGAGAAAGTAAAACCCTGACTGAAGTCATCTTAGCTATAGGAGCAAATGTCTCCAAATAGTCAATGCCATACATTTGGGTGTAACCCTTAGCAACCAACCGAGCCTTAAACCTCTCAATAGAGCCATTGGAGTGATATTTAATAGTAAACACCCATTTACAACCCACTGGTTCCTTTCCTTCCGGCAAGTCCACAATGTCCTAGGTATGATTCTTATGCAGTGCATCAAGTTCGGTCATCATAGCATCCCTCCATTCAGCTTGAGATAAAGCTTCCAGTACAGACCTGGGTATCACATGGGAAGAAACAAAGGCAAGAAAAGAGTAGTAGGAAGGGGAGAGAAGGCTATAAGATAAGTGTTTGGATATACAATGGGCTGTACACTTCCGCTTGCCCTTGCGAAGAGCAATAGGAAGGTCAAGGTYTGKRACAGTCAGAGATGGGTCAGTAGAGGGCTGACCTGTTTCCTCAGGAATGATGGGAGTGGCAAGATGCTCTTCTGAAGGAGTGAAAACAACCTGCACATGTCTGAATCTCTGCCTTTGGTACCACCTCTGGAGAGCAGGAGCAGAAGCAGGAGGGGGAGCAGGGACATCAAAGTAGAAAAGGACAAGTGACCAAACCGAAAATGACATAATAAAATTTTGTTAACAGACTCTGACACGACTGACTCTAAGGCAACTCCATGAGGTGGTCCCAAAGCTTGATCTGGTGTGTCTAGCAAGTATATTCCGTTTGCCTCATGGCCACTCTCAATCATCCTCTGAGACTGCAGGTCCTGAAAAACACAATGAGTGGGAAAGAAAGTTATGCTGCAATTCATTGACTTTGTTAAGCTTAGGGACATGAAGAACAGAAGATAAGAACAGGGTGTTAGAGGTCTTTATATCACCTTTACCAAAGATGGGGGCAAGGGACCCATCGACAAGGGATATTTTCTCTTTCCCAAAGAGGAGGTGATATGAGCAAAACAGGTTAGATAGGCTGGTCATATGGTCTGATGCATCGAAATCAATAATCCAAGGGATTTTACGATTACCTGAAGCTGAAGCATGATTCACAGAAGCACGAGTACCTGAGTGAGCAAAAGCCGATGAAGATGATGTACTGTTGGAAGGGTGAGTTGAAGAAACCGTAGCTTCCAGGTGATTTAGGAGCCTCCCATACTTCTCAAAATCCAGCTTCATTGCAGCCAACTGCTTAATAGTTGATTTTTCTTCGCTTTCCTTACTTCCCCCTTCAAGCAC